GGTTATACAAAGACTCAAAACAAAGGGATGGAGAAAGATTTACCAACCAAATGGAGAGCAAAAATAAATAATAAATAAATAAAAAGCAGGAGTTGCAATTCTTGTATCGGATAAAATAGATTTTAAAGCAACAAAGATATAGTGGTAAAAGGATCAATGCAACAACAAGAGCTAACGATCCTAACACCCAGATAGGAGACTTAAATTCAATGAGACAAAAAATTAATAAGGATATCAAGGACTCGAACTCAGATCCAGAACAAGTAAACTTAATAAATATTCATAGAGCTCTCCACTTCAAATACACAAAATATACATTCTTGTCAATACCACATCACACCTAACCATTAGTTTAAATGAAACATTGATTGGCCATTATTAATACCCAATTTTTTCCAAAATAAAGCAATATTTCCATTTACTCTCCCTCTTTCTCTTCCTCTTTCTTCCTCTCCTTTACTTATTTTTTTTTTCTTTACTTCTCTCAAAAAAAAAAGAAATCAACTTGTAAACCTCTAGATCCAGGTCGGCAATGTCTCGTTCATTGCTTGATTTCCTTTCTTCCCTTCCCTCCCTCCCTCCCTCCCCGCTTCCTCCCTTCCTTCCTTCCTTCATCCCTTCCTTCCTCCCTACCGTCCTTATTCCCTTCCTTCCTGCCTTCCTCCACCCCCCCCAAAAAAAAAAAAAAAACAATTATAATATGAAAAGTTACACCAGACAGTAATCTCTCAAGGTAAGGCAATGAGGAAAAATTTCCTTAAGGTAAAGAAACCTGACATGGGCATAATCATTTAGAAAAGGAGGAAGAAAAAAAAGAAATAGGTCAGATCTTCTGTGTATGACTTTGGGCAACTTAATATCCTTCTTTAAACCTCAGGCTTCTTCATCCATAAGAAATTCAAACAAAGGGAATATGTTTAAAAGCAAACAGAAATGAATGAGGTATTTTCTAATGAGAATGTAGATGATGATTACATGCTGTTTTATTCAGAAAATATTAAAACATTACCAGTTACTACTGTCTATTCAAGATATGACCTATTAGGATGTGACATGTTATTTCTATTTTACTCTGTGACACTTAATCATCTGATAAAGGATTAATGAAAGTTCATAAAATATTACAATTTTATATAGAAATGAGACTCATAAAAGAAACTTCAAATGAAGAGAAGAAGGTTCCACTAAGAGGAGAGACAGTCTAACATGTTTACTAAATTCCTAAGCAAAATGTAAAAAGAGGCCAGGATGATGTCCTTGATTTTCTCTTCAAATACAAAAACAACTAGATAAAGCTTACACAAAGTCTTGTATTACAAGAGATATCGAGTTTCTTCAAAAGGACCACACAGAGAGATACAATGTGCTGGAAAAATTTATTTAAAAAAAATATCTTACTGAAAGTAGAGAAAGTAGTATGAGACTGGTAGAAAAGAAGGAGCTAGAAGCTAGAAGACCTGGATTCTAGATTCTATCTATCAAGTCACATAACTTCTCTGAACTGCTGCCATTTTTCTTAGTCAAATATACTTAAATCCATCTTCACATAATTTTGAGTACTAAAGCAGAAAACGTTGGTGAAAATTGTATCCTATAAAAACAATAAATATTAGGCAAGACATTTTGGCAAGAAAATATTCAAGAAGAACTTCTATTAAAGTAAAATCAAAAGTGAAAATTCACCATTTGTAAGAAGTCCTGGGCCAGGCACGGTGGCTCACACCTGTAATCCCAGCACTTTGGGAGGCCGAGGCGGGTGGATCACGAGGTCAACAGATCGAGATCATACTGGTCAACATGGTGAAACCCCGTCTCTACTAAAAATACAAAAAATTAGCTGGGCATGGTGGCGCATGCCTGTAATCCCAGCTACTCAGGAGGCTGAGGCAGGAGAATTGCCTGAACCCAGGAGGCAGAGGTTGCGGTGAGCCGAGATCGCACCATTGCACTCCAGCCTGGGTAACAAGAGCCAAACTCCGTCTCAAAAAAAAAAAAAAGTCCTACCATAAGAAATTCCCATATGTATTTAAATGGTTGATGAGAACCCAAAAGTTGATAAGAAGAACTCACCTGTCAGCCAAGGAAAGAAATGTAGTCAAAAAATAGAGACATTAAGATCAGAGAAATAAGAAGGAAAAGCTCTAGAAACCCAGCTAATAAATGTTCAAAGAGGAATGGAATTTTTAAAAATCACGATTTGGTAGAATTCATAGTAAAAAATTGTTTCAGGCAACAATCATCAATATATGCTAAAGGAGTCAAAGTTGAGGTATAATAGGGTATTACATAGTTTCAAAATGTCTCCACACAATTACAAAAGACAGAAATAGCACCTTTTTGGTGGAGAAAACCAGCACATCCATCTTAATCAAGTGAGTAAAATCAACATCACCAGTAGTGGAGAAACATCACATACCTCCTGGTGTGATGCACTGAGAGTAGTAACACATCACACCTGTTGTATTCTGGGGAAAAATAAATAATCTAAATCTAATCATGGGGGAAAACAATCAAACAGACTCAAATTGAGGAATATTCTACAAAATAGCTGGCTTATGCTCTTCAAAATTATCAATGTCTTTAAGCACAGTAAAAGACTAAGGAACTAATCCATATTAAAGAAAACAAAAGAGACACAGGAGCTGAATGCTATGTATGATGACACTTCTTTCACTAGGAAGATATTATTAGGACAACTGGCAAAATCTGATTTAGCTTTATAGATCAGTTAATATTATATCATTATTAATTTGCTACATTGTTAATTAACCTGTGTTAATCACACAAAATAATGTCTGAATTAGTCTGCTCAGGCTGCCATAACAAAATATCACGGACTGGGTAGCTTAAACAACAGAATGTTATTTCTAACTGCTTACTTCTCACAGTTAGACATAAAATTCTGAAGTCTGAAAGTTAGAAATCAGGGTGCCAGGATGGCCAGGTTCTGGGAAGTTTTCTCTTCCTCTGTTCTAGATGGCTGCCTTCTAGTTGGGTCCTCATGTGGCAGTGAGAGAAGCTCTCTGGTGTATTTTCTAGTAAGGGCACTAATGTCATCATGAAGGCCCTGTTCTCAGGATCTCTTCTAAACCTAATCACTCCCAAAGCCTCTATCCCCAAACCACAATATTAGGGGTTAGGGCTTCAACACATGAACTTTTGGGAATACAAATTCAGTCCATAATAATATCCCTGTAAAAAAAAAAGTGTGGTGATTCTTTAAGGATCTAGAAATAGAAATTCCATTTGACCCAGCAATCCCATTACTGGGTATATACCCCAAGAATTATAAATCATTCTATTATAAAGACACGTTCATTGCGGCACTGTTTACAATAACAAAGACCTGGAACCAACCCGAATGTCCATCAGTGATAGATTGGACAAAGAAAATGTGGCACACATACACCATGGAATACTATGAAGCCATAAAAAAGGATGAGTTCATGTCCTTTGTAGGGACATGGATGAATATGGTAACCATCATTCTCAGTAAACTGACACAAGAACAGAAAATGAAACACCGCATGTTCTCACTCATAGGCAGGTGTTGAACAATGAGAACACATGGGCACAGGGAGGGGAATGTCACACACTAGGGTCTGATGGGGGATGGGGGACAGGGGAGGAACAGCACGGGGTGGGGAGGTTGGGGAGGGATAACATTAGAAGAAATGCCTGATAATAGGTGATGGGGGGATGGAGACAGCAAACCACCATGGCATGTGTGTACCTATGCAACAATCCTGAACGATCTGCACATGTACCGCAGAACTTAAAGTACAATAAAATAAAATAAAATAATCTATACACAGACTCATACAAAGACAGAGGAAAGAGAAAAACTGAAAGAAAAAGCAAATATAATTGTATGGATTCTGAGTGAAAGCTATATGGCAATTCTTTATACTACTATTACTTTTCCATGAGTCTGAAATTACGTGAAAATAAAAATTAAAACAAAAATTAGAAGAACAAAACAACTCATTACTGATCTCTCTGATTATACCACTACATAGGCAGTTAACTGCTTTGATTAAAAGTTATTACAAACTACAACAGTTCTTCTGGCAAATATATAATTGTCAAGAAAAATCAGATGTGTAAGTGTTCCCAAAAAATCTTCCAGAGAAATATATATATTGAAATTATCTTAAATTGGCTTGGTCTTAAAGCTCCTTTTCCATGTCCATAAGCTTGTTCCAAGAGTAAAAACTGTGTGTAACATCTGTTTCTAATTCTACATAATCTATTATTGTGGATATAAAAAAACTTATTATCACATCTATCTCCTTGCTAGTGCTAAAAAAAACAAGCACAAACTGCATGTTTTCAGAAAAGAATACTTAATTTTATTTTTTAAAAAATGAGAGATTATACACAACAGGTTAGAAATAGAGATGAAGCTCATCAATGTAATTATTCTATTAATGATTCTATTTTTTGCACTCTATCTCATTTTTCTTCCTCTATGACTTTCTCATTATGTAGTAAATCAACTTTAAATGTTGCTAGAGAATACTTGTTGAACTCACTAAGCAATGTCTAGAGATATTAACACTCAATATCTTTAATTATGAAATACTATTTAACCTGCTTCATAAAAATTATCTTCCATAGGACTACTGGGGCTAAAGATGAAAAACCATTCTTATAAACACAGTTAAAATTACTTGGAGAGAAAAGGGTCCCACAGTCAAGTTTAGAAAATGTTGAGTAAAAGAAAATTAAGTCATTTGTTTACTAGAATATATCACAGTTTTTAACATGTTAATATATATTCTAAATCTCAAAAAGGTAAATGATTTATAGTAGCACAGAAATCCTAATATTTTATAGAGAGTACCTATATGGGTGCACCACAAGTTGTAAAAAGCTACACTATACGATGTTATCCTATAATGTAACAAAGATTCTGTTTTTGTAAATTGATGCCAAGGTAAAGGCTTGATTATAGCTGAGGCAACTACTGCAGTGAAGAAAGATAACTTCTAACTTACCATTGTGAACCCTTGACCATCCACCTCTTTCACAGTCTCTGCCAGAAGATCCAAATAAAGTATCAGTCCTGGGACTTGGGGGATCAACCTAGAGGAAGCAGGATTTTTATGTTAAACAGAGTTTAAACATTCCTAGACTTTGAATCTCATGCCATCAGAAAAACTACTAGAGTATAGAGACCATATATCATAAGGGAAACATGATGGTGCTCATAAGAGTCAGGCATGTTTCAAAGTAAGAGTTTATTCAAATATTTTGTTATTCATTGCAAAATAAAATTGAAATTAAACCTCAGAAATTTTTAATTATATATATATGTGCCTACTTTAAAATGAGCAGATTTGGAATTGAAATGTTTATTACTCCAGTGCCTAATTTGCTTTCCATCACAATGTTTAAAAAAAACAAAAAGAGCAATCTACTTTGCCATATTTTAGAAAGTGTAGCCATTTGCTTCTTACCTCCTTAGTATGCACATTTTGAATTCAAACAGTGTCTTTACTTTGCTGTGTTTAGGCCCAGCATGCTCAGTGATATATAGCTTATTATAATAATAGCCACATTTTCTAATAAAAAGTGAAAAAAAAAAAGATACAAATGTACAAAACAGATATTCCTGTTCATCAAAATTTAAAATTTTGAGCATCAAAGGATAATATCAACAGAATGAAAAGGCAACCCATTGAATCAGAGAAAATATTTATAAATCATTTATATCATTTATCTGATAAGGGGGTTACCATCCAGAATAAACAAAGAGCCCCTATAATTCAATAACAAAAAAAAGAGATTTAAAAATGAACTTGAATAGACATTTCTCCAAAGAAGTTATACAAATGGCCAATAAGAACATTGAAAAAAAGTTCAATATCATTATCATTAAGGAAATCAAAATCAGTATCATAGTGAGATACTACTTCACTGTAATTTTGAGATACTACAAAATCATAGTGACATACCCATTAGGATAGCTATTAGAAAATAAAGTGTTGGAGAAGATGTGAAGAAATTTGAACACTCACACTTTGTTGGTGTGCAATGCAAAATGGTACACCTGCTATAAAAAACACTATAGCAATGTCTCAAAAAATTTAAAACAGAATTACCATATTATTTAACAATTTTTCATCTAGGTATATACCCCAAAGAGTTGAAAGCAGGGCCTCAAAAATATATTTGTATACCCATGTTCACAGCAGCATTATTCACAATGTCTACACTGTGACACAGCAACATTACTCATAATATCTAAAAGATGGAAGCAACCCAAGTGTCTATCAAGAGGTGAATGAACAAACAAATATAATATATGAAAATAAGAGAATATTATTCAACTGTAAAAGGGAAAGAAATTCTCACATACTATAACATAGATGAAACTTTATGAACATTATACTAAGCAAAATAAGCCAATCACAATGGAACAAATGATCTATAATCACACTTATATGTGGTTCCAACAATAGTCAAACTCATGGAAACAGAAAGTAGAATGGTAATGGTTGTCAGGGGTTGGGGGACACAGGGATGGAAAGTTACTGCTTAATGGGCACAGAGTTCAAACAGTGTCTTTACTTTGTTCTAGAGATGGATGGTGGTACGGTTGCACAACATAAATATACTTAATGTTTCTGAACTACACACTCAAAGATGGTTAAAATAATAAACGTTATAATATATATAACCACAATTTTAAAAAAACAAGTTTTTTGAAGCAGACAACCCACACAATGAGTAAAATGTGGTAAACAGCCTTACAACAGAATGTGATTCAGCCATAAAAAGAAATCAAGTATGATATATCCAACCTTGATGAACCTCAAAAACATTGTGCTAAGTGAAAAAAGCCAGACACAAAGGTCAAATATTGTATGATTCTATTTCTGTGAAATGGTAGAACAGGTAAATTCCTAGAGACAGAAAGCAGATTAGTGGTTGCCAGGACTATGGGAAGGAAGGAATGGAGAGTGAATGCTTAATTAGCTCAGAGTTTCCATTCAGGGGATGAAGAAGTTCTAGAACCAGATAGCTGCATAACACTGAACATCCTTAAGGCAACTTAACTGTGCACTTTAAATTTGAAATGATAAACTTATGCTATGTGTATTTTACCACAATAGGAAAAAAAAAGATCTTATTCTGTATGAATGGAAAATAAAAAGGCTGTTTAACTCCTCTAGGATAATTGCACCAGTTTCTCTGAAAGAATGCTAATTGATTTCTTAAAATTGTTTCCTATTCTCTAAGATTACTTTTCATACCATGTACATTGATTACACTGTCTTTCCTAAAAGTGTTACATTCTGCATATGCATGTATTAAGTTAAAATTGTGTTTGGTTACCAATTTTCTAAGTGCTTCTAAAACCATAAATGGCTACAGAGAAAAAAAAATGTCTATGTATACAAATACAATTGAAAAATCCACTTTCCTATTTAATACTGTAATTTTCTAAGTATAGACTTAGAAGTAGGCATTTCTGCTTATTGAAAAGCTAGGGAGGGAAAGCATTTAAATACAAATTTCAAGGTTTGTACCAAGCAATATTAGAATTATTAGAATATTAGAATTATTTAGAATATTTAGAATTGTTCCATTCTAAACAACAACATAAAAAGTAATAATAAAACACACATTTAAAGAAAAGCAGTTATGTTTTCCAAAGAAATTTAGCATGGCTACTCCCACAATATTTATTTTTGTACATAGGCATTTTATTAAAATGTTACTATGCCTTCAGATGAAAATATATCCTTTCTTTTCTATTTAATTTGTAATTATGGGCAGACTTAAAATTAAAGGCAGTCAAAAACTGACATCAAAATATGCAACTATTATCTGAATACTGGTCAAACAACAACAAAAAAAGTGACCAAAACTTATAATCAAATTATGTAGAAATGAGAAAAGTAGTCACAACAACCTCAATAAAACATTGCCACTTAAAGTATCCATTACACTATAAATTTTCTTTTATAATTAAAAAAATCTATTAAGAGCTGAAAGAAAATGACTCAGAGTCAAAATATAGGTGGAATGAAATGTTGCTAAAGGTATATTTAATTTGTTTTAAAAAGGTATCACAAAGAAAATCTGAACTTTCAGATGGTGTATGTTCAAAAAGTTATTAGCCCACCAAAGGAGCATATTTACATGTTGGATTAATTCATTTTAGAATTTAGAAAAAATGAACTAAAGACATTAGTCATATTTTTATAGGTATCCCAGAAAGTTACTTGGCCTCTATCAGCACTTAAATCTTGAGGTTTAACATTATTATATATGTATATTATATTAATTCATATTTTTTATTAGTTTGAAAGCTTTTGGTAAAGAATTGCTTTTAAGGTAAAAATACTTTACAAAAATTCAGGAAACCATGAAGATTCTGAGGGAGTCCTTTACTAAACATTCTGATTACAAACCCTTAAATTTAGTCAAAGTCTATTTGATAATCACATAAACACAAGACTCTAAATTTCAACTATATCAAAAGTACAATTTGGTATAGAAAGATTAGAAATATGTTACCCTTAAATGAACTTTTTTCACTTTCAAAGGTCTTCCCCTATTCATAAAATAATTTGCTTTGAAGATCAATTATACAAAGATTACCCAAGGGACATAATTTAAAAGAAAACTTATTTTCCATTTTAATTTTTATAATTTAAAAAAGGAGGGTCTTCCTTTTCATATAGAATATTTGGCTCTCTTTTAAAGTCCTCTCTGCCATTTTAGTACTAATGTCAATTACAACCAAGTTCAATTGGTAGTTATCATGCTATCTACTATATAAGAAAGAAAACTGATATGAGAGGATTTAACATGGCATTTATAACACAGCTTGATTTCCATCAGGTCTGAAGACTGAAAAAAGCAAGTTCTTTCATTCTAAATTAATTTCCCATTTTAGAATGCTAGGCTAGCAGTCAGGAAAGAAAAGTATTAATAGAAGCTAGAAGTTGAAAGATATTTCAGAATAACATTTTTTGGGGAAAAATACTGATCAGTTTCAAATAGAAATGCTTAAGAGAACACATACATGTCTAACCACAAATGGAGGTTTATCTGTTTCCTTTTTGAACTCATAGGGTCCCAGATTTAAATGAGCCAGCCGCTGCCTGGTATCTTCAGATAGCTCACACATGCGTCTTTTTGTATAGGGAGATGGAGAGTGTGATTTTGAAGAGATTGTAGGCTGTTCATAGTTTTTTGCATTTATGCAATATTTACTTCTCTCAGGTGACTTGGATTTTTTCTTTTGTGATCTTGATGTTCTGCTTTGTGGTCTGCCATGTGATTTTTCAGCTGGAGCCAACTGGTGAATAAATTTATCCTAAACATAAAAATAAAAATTACTTGGTCAAAGGGGATTTTTAAAATTTCTATTGGTTAAAAAAAATTATAAAGTAATTTAAATAAGATACAGAAAATCTATCAAAGTCAATTAGATCAGTCCTTCCTATCTGTGCTGATCCTGGAATAAGTCAAATCTACATTTTCCTAGATAACTCTTTCTATAGTAGTTACGGAAGTATACTGTTTCAAACTTCCTTAAGTCCAACTAACAAGGACTTTATAAAAATTAAAGGCCAATATTTAACCACCTGAAAAATTTAAGCAACAATATCAAAAAATTATTTTTCAGTATACCAAAAAAGTAAAAACATTGGTTATCATATATATTCATGTAATTGCCTATATAAGAGAACTATGTTTAGTAATGTTAAAAATACACGCCAAATTAGTTCATTACAAAATCTTTTATAGAGAAAACTATAAAAATAAGTTTCATCCCTTCTGCTATAATTATATAAATGTACAACACAAATGTCTGAAGAACAACTCTATACATATTTTAATGAAATGTATTATTTGGATTGTAATACACACTTTAAGGTCCCTTCCAAGCTGTAACTTCACAATGACAGAAAAACATACCATCTAATTCTGTTCCCATATTTTTATAAAATTAGAAACATAAAAAAACTTAATAACTGGTATTTTATCTTCCAATAAAACTGGTTAGCAGTCTAAAAATTTTGACGCTAAATAAAATTTGATAATTCTAATTTTGCTAATTTGATTGTAAGAATAACATCTTATTCAAATAATCCCTGCCTTATAAATGCCTTAACAGTTAGATTACAAGCAAATAATTTAACATTTCTCCATACTTCATCCAGAGTTACAAGAAGCTTTTCAATTCAAGAAAATGGACTGCTGAGAATTTTTGAATGTCTTCCTAACTTTAATCATTTTTAAAAGCCACACCAATCCTACACCTGCTCTACTTCCTCAACACCCCTATTTGCTAAGGGTAACTTAGTATATAAAATACAAATGTGAATAGAATGAAGAAGAGTCAAAAAGTTTTAAGTGGTTACACAGAAAAATTAATTTTCCTAAATAAAAACAAGCTTCAGCTGGGGCAATGGTCTATGCATTTCATACAGACCAGCTGCATCAGATTACTTCATCTTTCTTTCTTCTGAAGTTTGTGGTATGCTTCTGGACCTTCTCTACCTCATTCAATGACTTCAAAAAGTAATTCAGAATTTTTCTGCCATATCCATTTCATCCATCTCTATGACATCACAGACTTACAGAAGCAAGGAATGTTAGCACTAGAAAGGATCTTTGAGGTTTACTAAAACATTCAAGCAATGAATCTTTCTAAGACCTTGGAATTATGAGTTTTTGCTTTTCAGCTTTAATTATCTAATTCTACTGTATCTTGAATTTTACAAACATGCAGATCCATTGCATCCCTAATTCTGAAAATCCCTTGCTGACCAAAACCGCTTTTCCTCAACCAACTTCCTTCTCACTGAATCTGTTACTTGCCCTTTTCACCTCCTCAGTCCCTAGAACTCTTGCCTCAAGTTCTTTATACAGTTTTTAGCATCTCTTATCTCCAGACCCAACTAAACTCATAATCATCCATTTCATCAATGCTGTAAAGTTCCTTCTTATAGATCCACTTCTGATTATATCAAACCTTAATTTACCTCATCTTCTTTATTAAAGCATTTACTATTGCATACTACTAGAGAAAGTTATAAATTACACAGTACCTACTACAAATGCCTACTACTTATTCCTAATGCATCCTGTTCATGCCTAGTAAAACTTTTTTAAAAAGTGACTGTGTTATACTATTTGTAAAAGGAACTGACCATGTGACTTGCTTTGGACAACAGGAAAATAGTACATGCAGCATAAGGAGAGACTTGGAAAGTACTTACCCTCTCTTACTCCTAAAAAACCTTCCTGTCACCATGAATCAGCTGGAATTCTTAGCCTCATAGATGATGAGAGCCTTGTGACTATCGTCCCAGCTGAAATCAAGCTCATCACCAGAAATTTAAGATCCTTTCCCTGGGCAAAACATCTGCCACTGTCAGACATGTGAGTAAAGCCATCCTAAACCATTCATCCCTAGCCAGCCATTCTAAACTAACAGAATCAACCAGCAGATCCACAGAATTGTGAGAAACACTTGCTGTTTGAAGTCACTAAGTTAGTGAGGTGTGTAATACAACCAAAACTATGTGATATAGCAGATTAACAAATTTATATTCATAAAGTTACTACTGATATTTAACTATTCAGGTAATAAATTCCACTTTGCAGTTAGGTGAAAACAATGAGTAGAAATGAAAACTAGTTTTATTCCAGAAAATTCATAGTAATATGCTTAATTTTTCAGTCCATTCAGTCAGTGACAAAATATTCAATTTGAAAATAAAGTGCCAAAAGAAATAAAGATCATTATAAGCATTTTTGTAAACCTAAAATTTTTTTACAGCTTCACTTCTCTCAAAAGCAAAAATTGTTTGTATTGTCTTTGAAACTAAAAATGCTGCTTTATAGCCATTAAAATTTTAACTGTAACTAATAATCACTTGAAAAAGTAGACTTACCGCCTTCTTAAATACAATCAAATACTGTTAACATTCAGAATTTTAATGTAAAAGTGAATACTCTGTTGTGCCTACCAGATAATTTTTTCTATCTCATATTTCAACTACTTCTTCTGTATCTCCCCCAATTGTCTTAATTTCCTAAAAAAATAGCCATAGTAACAGCTGCAATATTCATTAATAATAATAATGTTATATGCCAGGTATACTGCATATATTCCCTAATCTTTACAGAAGCCTTATGAGGAACTCAAACCCAGATCTGTCTATTTCTGGAAAGAATATTTAAATAAAACATATTTCCTTAAATACTGACACCAATGCCTTTTCTCTCATATCTCCATTCGATAAAGATCCTAAGTCAAAAAAAAAAAAAAAAAATGAAGCATTCTATCAAAAGTTTATAGAGGGAAATATTAGTTCATAAGTACAATTAAACTATGAATGGGTAATGGCTTTATATTTAGAAATGGCTTTCACCAAGCTGTACCTTTATAATGTATGTACTTTTCTATGTATATGCTATAATTCAGACAAAATGTTAAAAAGAAAAAAAGACTTCTCTATCCATCTATTGGAAAAACATACTCCAGTGTGAAGAAAAAAAACTGTCAGAGTCGAGGCAAAGCATTTCTAACAATTTACAATGTGCACCGTCACATCTCTAAAACAAGTCAATAACATATCTCTGCATTTGGCAAGCACAGGTTTTTAGACGAGCACTAAAAGCTGTGTTTCAGCTTGCATCTCAAAGATAATTAAGTACAGCCTGACTCTGAATTATTCAATATCTTTCTAAATAAAATAAGAATGATCCCCTCAATAATTCTATATTTTACCTTTCTTAGCTCAAGTCACAGTTATCATCCTCAGCAAATTTACTTGAACACTGATAATGAAGTACACGAACAATCTACTCCTTCCATGGTCAGCCTACCCTTTTGAGCCCTCTGAGCTTTACATATTATTGGCTCTTCATCATAGACAGGTCACTGTTACTCTCTCACAATGCAACTGCACATGAGTGACATCTGGACATTGTTAGATAACCTGTGGACAAGGAAGTAAGCTACCTTGGTGACTCAGTAAGAATTCAGACCAGGCCAGGCACATCAGTACACACCCATAATCCCAGCATTCTGGGAAGCCAAGGTGGGTGGACTGCTTGAGCCCTGGAATTCGAGACCAGCCTGAGCAGTATGACAAACCCTGTCTGAAAAAAAAAATACAAAAATTAGCTGGGTGTGGTGGCGCAAACCTATAGTCCCAGCTACTAAGGGGACTGAGGCAGAAGGATCGCTTTAGCCCGGGAGGTCAAAGCTGCATGCCACTGCACTCCGCCCTGGGCAAGAGTAAGACCCTGTCTCAAATATATTTTAAAAAGGAAAAAAAAAAAAAGAAGTCAGACCAAATGGAGCATTAGATCCAGATATCTCAGACACAGATGATCCTTAGGCTGGAATGTCCAAGATTCTCTTGATCTGGCAGTACCAGTAAAGCCACCAAACTGAGCAACAGTCCCTTAAGAAATCAGTGAGAGTCAAGAAACCATACTTACTAAACACCAGTATCCCATCTGAGAACTCTGGTAACATTTGCTAAAAAAGGTATCCTTTGAACATTTTGCAGTAATCTGTAACTTCCATAAGATTTAAAGATGCCTAGATCTCTGTGAGACTACTTGATCCTAACATCTTTATGGCAGGTTGATTTCTGTGCATTAAAATGAAAATGTCCAAGAAGTAAAAAATAGTAGTAATAATCATCACATGATGACATCCTCTATCATACATACCAAGCTTTTCATTCTCACATTTACTAAGATGTAACCATATTGTTAAATACCTATACTGTTTTACTTAAACTAAAAATTGATCCCCGAAAAAGTGAAAAGAGTTGCAGCCAAAAATAAAGAAATAATGCTTGGTAAATGGCCACAAAGAGGACTAAATAAATTAAACTATTAAATACTTTATACAAATAATTTTAACCTGAGTGCGGCATTTCCTTGAAGTAATCAGACATTCAGTAATCATTGAAGTTGTAGAAAATTCCAGCTTTGGAGCATTTCCCTGAGAAGATAGAAGAGGGTAATATTAGACATTTCCATTTAAATGGAGATGATTATATAAGAATATGACCTAAAGTAAAAATCAACTGTCAAAAATCAGCTATTTCATTGTTAGTTTGAACTTTTTATTAAAGATTAAAAACAACATAGTAATGGCTAAATGATAGTAAATAACAGTGTCTCTGCTGATGATTCAGTTATGAGTGATTATATTACTTTTAAAAATAATTAATCTATTTTTTCATTTTTAAGTATTTCCTGTCAAATTACTTCAAATTTTTAAACTATGATATATTGTAGTCATAAATATATAAACATACTTAAAAATTTGAGCTTTTTTCTTTTACAACTTAAGACATATTTTACTATATAGTCAAGAAATAAAGGTTAGCTTGATTTAGCCATTCCACAATGTATACATATATCAAACATCATAAATATATACAATTTGTATTTCTCAATTTTGTTTTTTTTAGAGACAAAGTCTCTGGAGTACAGTGGTGCCATCAAGCTTACCGCAGACTCTAACTCTTGGACTTAAGTGATCCTCTCCCCTCAGGCTTCTAAGTAGCTAGGACTACAGGACACACTACTTCATTAAGCTAATGTTTTCATTATTTTGTAGATACAGGGTCTCACTGTCACACAGGCTGGTATCAAACTCCTGGCCTCAAGCAATCCTCCTGCCTCAGCCTCCTGAAGCACTAGAATCACAGGCATGAGCCACTGGGCCTGGCCTGTCCATTAAAATTTTAAAAAACAAAAACAAAAAACCCAGCTCCTAGGCATGTAGTTCCTGAAAATAGAAAAGATAAATTCTCTACTAATTCCGCCAACATTTTTTCCTATAATGTATCTTACATTCATATCTAGAAATGAATATGGCTTGTATTTCTAACATTTCAATCATCACCTTGAACACTCTTTGAAATAAACAGAGATAAAGATGGTAAAATTCAAAAGTACAGTAACAAAGTATCTGTGAAAGTATTTGGAAGCAAACAATTACGCAATCACCAAAACATTAAAGAATATAGTCCATGCCCAGGGCAGTTTCATTCTAATACAGTAGAAATCAGACATTGACCAAAGTATTAGGTTGCTCCAAAAGTAACTGTGGTTCAATCTTGTGAACGGAACTCGAGCCCGGGGAATCTCGTCCAGCGAAAGGGTCCCAAACCTGGAAGAGACCGCGCGCCAGAAAAAAAAGGAGATAGAAAAGGCGAGGTCTGGAGGGCTACATGCGCTATGCTCATGCAGCAATTTTATTTTTGCAATGTGTTTCATTATATACTTTTCTGAAGTTAAAGTTGTTTATGCCAGATCAACATACTTAAGTTACAGTAAGCAAGTTACGCCCAGTTAACTAAGTTAAGCCCAGTAAGTAGGCTACGCCCAGTAAGTAGGTTACTTCCAGTAAGTAGGTTACGCCCAATAGGTCAAGGTAAGTAGATTACAGTCACACCCTATAAGCTATGGTAAGTAAGTAACACAGGTCCAAAATGAACACAATCAAGCAATAAACCATAACAAGCCGAAAGTAGACACAATGCCTCCCAAGTCCTCATATCCATAAAGTAATGTCTGTTAATTATTTAGAATAACATAGTCCCTCTCTTGGTTCCTGCTTTCCCTCAGCTCGACTCCCCCAACCAGGGATCTGTGTCCGGGCTCAAGCTCACCCTATGGTGAGGCCCATTTCCTAGGGGCCTCACACAGGAGCAATCCCCACAGGTCTCCCTTAGTTCAACACCTACATTTGGCCTCAACAGATCCAACCTGTGATTAAGTTTAAAAACATCAAATACATTAAAGAAAAGGTAAATCAGAGTTGCCTAACAATTAACTGAACTGATGTCATTCTTACCACATTCTACTCATTAGAATCACTCAGTCTACACTCAAGAAGAGCAGTTAGGCTACATTTTCAGTGTGTGTTATTCTGCAAACATATCTTCATAGTGATATCTACTATGTCTGCTTGTTAATTATCTAGTACTACAAAACAAATCACCTTGAAACTTAGTGGTTTAAAGCATGAGTAAAGATTTATTATCTCATGTAATTTCTGTGGGTCAGAAGTCAGAGAGGTTGAGCAATGTGTTTCTGTGTTGAAATTTCTCATGAAATTATGTTCAAGATGTCACTTAGGCTGCAGTCATCTGAAAACACGACTAGAGCTGGAGCATCTGCTTCTCAAGTAGGTTCATTCACAGGGCTATTGGCTGGAAGCCTCAGTTCCTTTCTAGCTTTTGGCAAGTTCAGCAACTCATAAACCTCTCCAAAGGGCTATTGAGTGCCCTCATGATGTGGCTCTAGTTAATCAAAGTGGATAATCCAAGAGCAAAGCAAGAAAGAAGCCACAATGATGTAGTCTCAGAATCCTACACTGTCACCCCTACCATATTCTATTTATTAGACTCACTAAGTATAATCCAAACTTAAGGGCAGAGTAGTTAGGCTACGTTTTCAATGAAGGAGGAGCAAAACTTTTGTGTACAGGTTTAAAACCACCAGTCTGCTCTCTGACCACAAACTACTTACATTCCTCTCACATGCAAAATACATTCATGCTCTACCAGAAAAAAAAAGAAAATAATTAAAGTCTCATCCTTCTACTACTTCAGCTTGAAGTCCAAGATGTTGGCATCTTAATAAAATCCTGGTACAGACAAAGCTACTGAGGTGTAGTTCTTTATGTACAGCTCCTAAAATATAGTTTCTTACAATCAGAAGATATATGACCTAAGGAGAAAAGTTATCTGCCTCACACATGCCCAAGGTGCACATGTGCAGCAGGCACAGGACAATCACTACAGACATTCCTATTCAAAAAGGGGGAAAATAGGATAACAATTCTGAAATACAGCCAGGGAAGTGATAGACCTTCCTTGATTAGGACTTAGTCCTGTTTTCTGTTCAGAAATAACTACCCACGGTTCTTGGTTTCACATTCTGGGTACTCGCTTTCATCCTTTGAATCACTATTCCTTTACAATGAGAGGTAGACTGTTTGAAGCTGCATAGTGCTCTGAGTTTGGGTCCTATCAATAGAATTTTGAGGATTCAGGAGGCTTTTCCTTTTATAATGTCTCTCTCAATTTTGGACCAAATTGGTGGCATTTCTGCCAACTTCATGTTCTTCCATTTCTTTTTGTGGTACTCATGTGAATCTTATTGGAGTTCACTCCATTAGACAAAAGCCATACCCTTCTCTATATTGGACTTCTGCTGAGAATGCTGAAAAACAGTACCCTTAAGTGTTTAAACAAAGCTGTGTTTGATTAAATGATTTTCTGGCAAAATGTTAGATATTTATGAGGTTTTAATGAAAGATTTTACATTCACAGCCTTAGTTTCACCATCAGATCATAATTTTCCAAAAGTACTCTGAAATGATTTTTGCTCCTAAGTCATTTCTTCAATTTCAGCATTGTCTGCAACTGGGAAGGACTCAGAATCATCAGAATCAGTAAGGTCCAACTCTTTCCTAACAGCCTTTCCTTTTGTTTTCTCCCCTCTCATATTGTGGAACACGCAGCAAAAAGAAACCAAATATCCCCTTTAACACTGCCTGCAAGCCTCCTTAGACTATCATTTCATTAGACAGCTATTCTACATTCCACATTAAGATTAAGTGGCTGTGCTGTTAAACTTGCTGCTGTTACATAACAAGAATCCCCTTCTCTGCTAGTTTTCAGTAACATTTATCTCACTTTCCTGCAAATGCTCATGTGAAAATTTCTTCAAGGATCTTCAAGCTTTAATTGCAGAGTCTGTCCAGCTTCTACCCTCTCCTCTATGAGACACAGCTGCTTGAGGGTTCTTACACATGACAGGTAACTTCCACCACATGAGTGATCCTCAAGTGAGTGCAAAGCAGAAGCCCCAATGATTTTAATGACCTGATACCAAAAGTATAATACTGTCACTTTTGTCATGTATCTGTTAGAATCACTGGAAATAGTGACTTAATAGGAGGGAAACTAGCTCCGCCTTAGAAAGAGAGGAATATCAAAGAATTTCTGGATGTATTTTATAACTACCACAACCTAGACTGTAAGTTATCACTTTACCCCTCTCCATATATTGCTGGTCACATGATAAGAACTCAATCAATGTTTTAGCCTTTATTTTACTGAATTTTAAAAAATCCAGCTTTATCAGTCAATGTTCTTCAGAGTAACAAAACTCATGGGATATACATAAAGAGACTTATTTTAAGGAATTAGTTCACACAATTGAGGGAGATGAGAAGTCCAAAATCCACTTTGGACTTCTCATGGCAAGCTGGAAACTTGGGGAGAAGCTGACGTGCAATCTTGAGTGTGAAATCTGTAGGGCAGGCCAGCAGGCTGGAAACTAAGATAGAATTTCTGCTACAGTCTTGAGGCAAAATTCCTCCTTCAGACCGGGAACTGTGACTTATATCTGTAATCCCAGTGCCTTGGGAGACCAAGCCCAGGAGTTTGAGACCAACCTGAGCAGCAGAGAGAGACCCTGTCTGTACCAAAAAAATTTTTTTTTTAATTTGCTGGGTAAGGTGGTGAATGTCTGTCATTCGAGCAACTTGGGAGACTGTGGTGAAAGGATGGCTTGAGCCCAGGATGTCAAGGCTGCAGTAAGCCATGATCATGTAACTGCATTCCAGCCCGGGCAACAAAGCAAGACCCTGCCTCAAAAACAAGACAAAACAAAATAATCCCTGCTTTATCAAAAAACCTCAGTTTTTCCTTTTCAGGTCTTCAATTAGATGAAGCCCATTCAAATGCTAAAGTAATCTCGAAGGTTATCTTCTTTATTAAAGTCAAGTAATTGTAAACATTAATCACAACTGTCAAATACTTTTTAGAGTAACACCTAGACTTGTGTTTGGTCAAATAACTGGGCACCATAATCTAGCCAAACTGACACATAAAATTAATCATCACACTATTTCAAGTGTCAGTTCATCTATGAAGATGCAATTCATTCATTCAATTTAATCAAGAGATATTTATT